CCTTGGCGGGGGTAATATTGATGAATATAGTCATTACAGTGATGATGATACTGGCGATAATGAGGATGATGGTAATAATACTAATAATGATAACAATGAAAATGATAAATACGATGACAATAATGATGATGATAATAATAATGATAATAATGATATAATAATAATGATAATAATGATAATATGGATGATAATAGGAATAATAACGATAATAATAATAATATAATGATAATATAATGGTATTAGTAATAATGATGATGATAATAACAATAATTATGATGATAATAAAGATAATATCAATAATTATAACAATAATGATAAGATTAATAAGTATCGTAATGATGATAATGATAATAACATTAATAATGATTACTTTAATAATAATAATATTGATGATAAAAATAATAATAACAATGATAGAAATAATAACAAGAACAGAAAAAGAATGACAATAATCATTATCACCATAATGATAACACAAATGATGATAATGACAAAATAAGAATAAGAATAGTAATGATAGTAATGATAGTGATAACAAATAATCATGATAATGATGATGATGGGGATACTAAAGATAATAAATGATGATAATAATGATAATCTTAATCTATTAATCAATCTTGATCTGAAAGTATGACAATAATGATAAGATGATGATAATGATATGAATAATAATAATAATAAATAATAATAATAATAATAATAATGAAAAATAATAATAATATAATAATAATAATAATAATAATAATAATGCAATAACAATGATAAATAGTGATAATAATAATAATAATAATAATAATAATAATAATAATAATAATAATGATAATGATAATGATAATAATAATGATAATAAAATACAGATGATATTGACTTGGTTTTCCGTCACGCTCTCTCTCGCAAGGATTCGGACGATGCCCTCCGTCGTTTCCCGGATGCCCTTCCGAGTGGGATTCGAACCCTGGGTGAGCGAGGCTTCGTTCCCGGCCGACCGAGCCACCGCTGCGCCAGTAATATTTTTTAATGATGATGATTATGATAATAGTGGCAGTGATAGTGATGATTGTGATAGTAATGATAATCATAGTGATAATGATGATTATGATAATGATGATGATGATGATAATAATGATGATAATAATGATAATAATGATTATAATTATAATGCTGATAATGATGATGATAACAATGATAATGAAAACGATGATGATGATAACAATAAAATGATAATGATAACAATAATGATAACAATAATGATGATGAAAATGATGACGATGATAATAATAAAAATAATAATGATAACAATAATAATAATAATGATAAAAGTAGTAGTAATAATAATGATAAAATAACAATAATAACAATAATAGTGATAATAATGATAATGATAATAATAATAATAATAGTAATAACAATAATAATGATAACGATAATAGTAATGATAATGGTAATAATAGTGATAATATGATATTGATAATAATGATGATAATAATGATAATGATAACAGCAATAGCGATAAAGATAGTAATGATAATGATAGTAACAATATAATAATGATAATAAAATTATAATAATAACAATAATAATAATAATGATAATGATAATAATGATGATAATAATGATGATAATAATGACAATAATGGTAATAATAATGAAAATAAATAAAAAAATGACAACAATGATAAAAACGACAATGATAATAACAATAATGATAGTAATAATAATGATAATGATAATACTGATAATAATAATGAAAATAATAATGATAATGATAATAATGAAAATAATGATAATGATGATAATAAAATGGTAATAATAATAATAATGATAATAATAATGATAATAATATTAATGATAAATAATAATAATAATAATAATAATAATAATAATAATAATAATAATAATAATAATAATAATAATAATAATGATACTACTACTACTACTACTACTACTACTACTACTACTACTACTACTACTAATAATAATAATGATAATGCCAATAGTTATGATAATGATAATAACAACAACAGCAATGAGAATAGTAATAATAATAGTAGCAATAACAACAATAGTAATGATAATAAAGAGGATGATAGCAATAATGATGACAATAATGATAATAATAATAATAATGAAAATTGTAATAACAGCAGCTGCAACAAAAATGATAATGATAAAGAAAACAATCTCGATAACAATAATAACAATGATAATAATAATACTAATGATAATAATGATTGTGATATTGATAATGATAATGATGATAATGATAGAAATGATAATAGTAATAATTATGATAATAGTGGAAATGATAAAAGTAATAATTATGATAATGACAGTAATAATAATGATAATAATAATAATAATAATAATATAATATAATAATAATAATAATAATAATAATAATAATAATAATAATAATAATAATAATAATAATAATAATAATAATGATAATAATAATAATAATAGCAATAATAATGATAAAACTAATAATGATAATAAT